TTTGTTTTTTTTTTTTTTTTCATTTTTCAGTGTAAGCCAAACCAAATCGAAAATATTTACCCCAGCTACTTTACAATTTTTTGCTTTCCCAAGGAGAGCATCTATGCAACGCAATTGGCCAGCTAGCTCCAATCACGCAAATAGAACGACACTGACAAAAGAGATCCAAGTTTCCATGTGGAGGAAGGACGGGGAGGGGGGGGGGGGGGAAAACTAATATATGCTATATGTCCAAAGAAAAAGACCAACCAAGGACAAAAATTAAATAATTACATATATAATGTGCCAAGAGTGTTGACAAATAAACACCAGATGGGATGACTAGATGAAGAGAGAAAAAAAAGATACCTTGACAATTTGGGCAGCATCAAGAGAGACAATGTGGCAACCCTTCAGATTAAGTTCAGGCTTTTTACATTGGATTCTCTCTCTGTTGTAAGAACTAAAGCCATCCATGACCTCATTCCAATCAGAAAATGGAGCTTGCTAGCAGGAGCTGCAGACAGCAGAATTGCCCATATCGAGTTTGGCTTGGCCCCCATAACCTGTTTGAATGGAAGAATTCTTCATAGATGCTGAAAATAAAAAGAACATAATGATACTTATTTTGGTTGATCTGTTCAGAATGCAGAGCATGAAAAGATAGTAGAGGGAGGTTTCCTCGAATATATATATACTCATGAATCTCTTTTTATCACCAGAATGGTAATGAAGATGAATATTGAAATACTAACTGATTAAATACTGAACATTTAAGTTCTACTGAAGTGAAGAAACATGACAAAAGAGGCATTGATAACGGACTAGACACAGCTTCCCCGTCGCAACATATCATCCATATTTTATTTCCTTTCTAATTAGAGTATACAATGTGGAAGGTTTCAATATTTTATAGCCAGTATTATTGCCATTCTTCCACAGTAAAAATACATCAGTTCTGCCACTACTGAGAGCAACTGCAGTCAGCCATCAAATACAAAAATACCATCTTCTAAACATATCAAGGAATTCATGGCAATTGGCAACTTGATCCTTGAGTCATGCAAATAAATCCCTCAGTACTCAGAAGATCAGTAGAAGTTACGTGGAAAACGGAAAAAGGAACACAATGATATAGAAGGATCAAAAACCTGCAAAGGTACCACAGCTGCCAAAATTTGCGATTGCAATGTTCCTCACTTCACAGTGAAGGACTAACTTAAGGGCAGACTATATATGTTCTATTCAATGCTAAAAGTTCCAATACGTACTAAAATAAGAGAGGGCGAGGAGCCGCTGGCATTTCAGTCCTCACAGTACCAGTACACATATAGATGGCTTTACTAATTGTAGTCTCTCATACCTTGTTTCTATCCAAATTACACCCATAACATTGAATCATTATCTGTGTATCACTAACCAGAACTATTTTTTCAAAAACTGCAAAGCACCAGCAGAAATAAATTATGAGCAGGTCCTTATTACAACAGTCCTATCATTTCACTTAAGCTTTTCACTGCATGTGTTGGACAGAAGCTCAATTAACAACTATTCAATGAAAAGATAAAGTAATGTTGATTATTCAAGCAAGTTCTTGAACAACTTGGAATAAAAGACTTTATCTAGTAGATACCTCCAGCATTTGGGATGAAGGATCAGCATTTATTCCATGGAAACTTTTGGAGAAAAAAGTACATTTCCAGAAGAGGAAATGGAAACTTATTTTCGACAAAAAGCTATACTTTTCTAAATGGAATAATCAGGAGGCTGGTCCAAAAATGAATTCAAAACAAAGCATAAATTCTTAAGATATTGAAGCAACCACACACACGCATAAAAAATCGGCAGAGCAGAGAATCAGGCATTTATTAGCAACCTCTCTACCCATCCTCTCAACCACCACCTGCATAGCATTTTCCATGCACTTACATATGCCAATTGACAATAAAGGTAAAAATTTGTGGTCAAGCTAGAAAGCTAGAATTCCTTGCAGGTATTTAATTTAAAGAACATATTGAATATGGGGTTCAGCATGAGGACCTTTTTCCCTTTCAGATCATAATCCCACGAATGTAATTCTCAAAGCCATCTGTGTTTGGACGGCAGATTTCCAAGGAAACATTTTAAACCTTGTTTGGCTCCTCCTTGGACCTAAGATACAAAAAAATATTTCTACATTGCTATTAAATATTTGCTCATACCATTTATTCATTTATTTTTATTTTTTGAAATTACACCCACAACCATCTATGAATTATATAAGATCTAAATTACAATAAAATCGCTAATTACACATCATGGAGAAATTACATATTCGCCGTTCATGCCAAAATGCTCACACAATAGATTGAAAGGATTCAACACGCTTCGTTGCATTAAATAAAAGCTTGACTTCTCAAAATAAAATTAACTTGTAAATTATGACTTGAGAATGAGATTTCTAACCTAAAATCGTAAATTATATTAAAAAAAGAAACTAAGAAGCCAAGATCTAACAAAGAACAACTGCCGTGTATTCGATTCAACCACAAGAGAGCCAAGATCTATTATAAGTAATCAAATCAAAATAAAATTCTCCTTTTCTTGTAGTAAAAATATTAGAAGACCTGAGATCTGATTGAGATAATAAAAGGCACGCTATAGAGATGTAACGCTGCTGCCTCTGCTTCGCGGCGGCGGCGTCTTCACCGCGGTCTCCGATTCAGTTGATGCAAGGCGGGATCCAATTCTCTTTCTTTTTATAATTTGCCTCACAGCCAATCGTGCTTAGCCATCTGGCAATCAAATCGCAGAATCAGTTCCCGACCTGCACCAAGCGAATTAGAGACCGCCGGTAACTAAAAATCCTCTCTCCTCCTCTACAAAAAAATAATTTTAATTTGTTTTCCGTAAATAGCCCTACTTATATACTACTTAGTTAGGAGTGGGTAGGTATCGGTGAGGGATGAGGGTTATTTATAGTGAGCACAGACGAACGTGATTTCGACACGTCCCGTTCCTTGAGGCGGCAACCATAAGCGGGATGTGGTTTGGGTTTGGCCGAATTACAAAAACAAACACATCCTCGAAAAAATAATCCTTGATTTCCCATCCTAAGCAATATGATTTTTCAAATTTACTGCTCAATTATGGAAAAGTTGATAAAAATCCTCAGAAATTCTCTCTCTTTCTTTACAAATTACAATATAAAAAATAAAGAACCAATCCTTTCTATTGTTGGTTTAGTTTGAATTTTGAATGGGGCGGTTGCTTGTTAACAGCGATATTCAATTAAAAAGAGATCTGAACATGTATTTCCATATTTTGCTTTTATTTTTTTGTTTTATTAGCAAAGCTACTAACACACAGTCCAATTCAAAGTCAGAATTATGAGTTGAATGTATTATCCTGTACTATTCATTAGTTATCTAGATTTGGATTCAAAGTCAGAACTATGAGTTGAATGTATTAACCTGTACTATTCATTAGTTATCTAGATTTGACCGGATCAACCATCGTATAATACACTATGTCGATTTTTTTTTTATTTACTTGGGGTGTCCTGGCCAGCTTACGCGCACCACGATTAATCCTCATAGTCCACTGAATACCCTACAAACCCAGTAGGCAACCATCATATAATACACTATGTCAATTTTTTTTTTTTATTTACTTGGGTGTCCTGGCCAGCTTGCACGTACCACGATTAATCCTCATGGTCCACTGAATACCCTACAAACCCAGTAGGCATGTAAGGCACCGCGAGGGTGACAGACGTGCACGCCAGGATTCGAACCCATGTGCAGTGGAAGGAGACAAGCCACTTCCACCGCTAGGCCAAGCCTCTTGGTGCAACTTTTTTTTTTTTTTAGATTAATATGGGTGTCCGGGCCAGCTTGCGCGCACCATGACTAATCTCACGGGTCCTGAAGTTAACGACCATGTAAGCCTCCAGTGGCCATCATATAAGCAACCAAGGACTCAAACCTGAGACCACAGAGGGAGCAAACCCTTTAATTTCAAGTTTTTACCACTTGGCCACCACCTAGATGGTCCCCTCGGTGCAACTTTTAATAACACCGCTCATTGAGGGAGAAAAGGAGAGGGGCTTCAAGTATTTGTTCAAGGATTGTTTTGTTAATTTCTTAATGAGATCTTGAAAGAAGGGGTGCTTTCAGGAAATCACATTGTTTAGGATGGAAAATGAGGGATTGTTTTTATCACGGGGGTGTTTTATTTTATGGGTTTCTCACAGTTTGTGGCAATCAATGACATGAAAACAGGGTTGGAGTTTATGAAGATTACGATTTGTGTCGGGTCCTGCGTGGTGCTACAGTAGATGCACGTGCGCGTGATCTTTAGCCTCAGTGCTATGTTTTTTTATTTTTTTTTATTTTTTGGAGTATGAAGATTTTAATTCTTCAAAGATCATGGCACCACTAATTGCATATCTCAAGACGATGCTTTTAGCCATCCAGGAGTTTCTTTTAAAGAGGAAAATAATATTATGAATTGTTAATAAATGTATCTACATATAAATTAGATTCTTTAATTTAGAAAAGAAAGGTCAAATTAATTCGAGGGCTTAAACTAATTAAAAAAAAAAAAAAGGTTAGGCACACACCTTTTACTTTTGATCGAACATGTATTTTTTAAATATCAATGCTGCTTGGTGGAATCACTTTTGCATTAAACTAAATTTGTAAGGGTAAATGAACATTACAAACAAAACAGGTTATGAAAACAACTTTTACATTGGATTTAGCACTTAACTCGGCACCTATTGATTCAAAAAAATAAAATTATTATTAGATTATTGAGTTAATTATTAAATTATTGGATGAATATTTTTTTAAAGCAATGTTATTTAATTTATCTTTTTGATACCGACTTAATTAAATCTGACTAAATCATTAAAAATCAGATTGGATCAACCAAATCTTTTCGAGTAATAACTTATCTTGTCCAACTAAAAAATCAAATCAAATTAGGATTCAAATCCTATATTTTTCTATACTAAGAAAAATCTTAACATCTATAATAGATGGATAGTGTGGGATTACCCATGTTGAATAATAATAAAAAAAAAAAAAAACAAGCCTTCCACTCCAAGTGAAAAAATCAGGAATAATATTAGCAAAGCTCATGGTTGAAGGTTGGCCCCCTTCGCAGCATCATAGCTCTTCGGGCATTTGGAGGACAAAGCTTGAAAGAAAAATTGATTTTAAGATTCCATGGAGCCGGCCCTGCATGTTATTATTAAATTGGGATCTTAATTAAAATAAATAAAACAGTATTGTGGCATCGACCTTCACTTTCCGTCCTGTGCTTTTGAATCCATCAAGAAAGTTAAATGTAATTGTATTGCTTATTCTATATATATATATATATTGGTGAAATTCTAGATCAGGATGATACTAAAATCAGACCTTCAAGAAACTTGGTGAAAAATAGCTAAAATTGATAGAACCCTGTAAAATCTGGTGGGTGAGACATTAAAATGAAAAATTATAATTTCATTATTTTTATTTAACAAAGAACCACCAACTGAGCAATCCCATTTAAAGTTCTTAGGTTCTTTCATGTTTCGATGAGAAGCCCAATCGACATTGATTGAACTGTTCTTGCGCTCTTAAATCTCATTTCGAATTCAATCTTAGAGTTGAATTAAAAAAGCATATATAAAATGGAGATCTTAAATCAAATCTAAACAAGTGGCAACCTTTAAAGTGTGGAGACAAGAAGAAGCAATTGTCAAAGGAAATCATGATGCATGTTACCGGAAATGGTCTCTGAAAAGGCGTGGAGAACATGACTGGCCGGCTGTTTTTCCAATTTTCTGACGCCCACGGAGCTCCATTTGCCCCCTTTACTACCATCATCTCTCCAAAGACGGTGCCTTTTTTTCCATGAAGGGGGGCCTATGTACAGAAACTCCATGGACTTTTAACTTGGTTACGGTGGGATAACTCCGGATTCCAAGATAAAGTTGTCGAAAAAATTGAGATCCACACCCAGCAACACTACAATGAATAGTTTTTTTAATAAAAATAATGACAAGCACGCAACAAGATTCGAGCTCGGTTTTGTTTGTTCGTGTAATTATTTTAATAAAAATAATGACAAATACTAAAAACTATCTTTTAAAATATTTATTAAATAAATCGTGCTCGCAAAAATTATTCCAATACCAAAACTATACGAGGACATGTATTTAATATAGTTTCAAATTAAAAAATATTTTGTTATAGATAAAATTAGTTAAATGACCCGCATGATGTCGCAGATCAATCTTTTTTTTGCATAAAAAATATATAAAAAAAGTGATGTCGTAGGTTAATCTTTTTTTGCATAAAAAATATAAAAAAAAACTAAAATTTAAAAGTGTTAGATCTTTTTGCAAAACTATACCTAAGAGTCTTAGGTTTGGCTACAACGTCTGATCCAAGCGTAATATTTATAATATTAAGTCTGATCCAAGCGTAATATTTATAATATTAATAATAACATTAAACTTGCATGACCCAAGTTTAAGTGGGTTTGATTGCAATACCAGACCCAATAACCTTGGATGTGGGTCTAGTTGCAAAGTCGTATTATAAAATTGTGATAATTAAATAGTTTAAATAAAAAAAATATACAAAAAAAACCAACATGAAAAAAATAACTAATGAAGAAAAGGAAAAAAATATGAATTAATTGAGTTAACTTTTCAAACCAGGTTAACTAGTCAAACATTGGATTTGTGTAGTGAAAATTTGATAATTAAATAGAAAAAAATTGATGGGTTACCCCAAAATTATCTAGGCTAACTCGTCAAACCAGGGATCTATGTCATAAAAGTCCGATAATTAAATAGAAAATAATTAAATAGGAAAAAATTGATGGATTACCCCAGAATTATCTAGGCTAACTTGTCAAACCCGGGATCTATGTCATAAAAGTCCGATAATTAAATAGAAAAAAATTGATGGGTTACCCCAAAATTATCTAGGCTAACTCGTCAAACCAGGGATCTATGTCATAAAAGTCCGATAATTAAATAAAAGAAAAATTAATATTAAGAAAGTAAATTAAAAAAATAAAAAAGCCAGAAAAAAAACTAAAGCATCAGTTTTTTCACTGTGGACTACACTGTGCAGTCCACACTAAAAAGCCTAAAAAGGAAAAGAAAAGGGAAAAAAACAGTCTACAATAAAAGGCCTAAAAAGGAAAAGAAAAGGGAAAAATATAAAGATATACCCACGAGTTATTTTTTTTTCTTGCATAAAAAATATAAAAAAGGGCTAAGATCTAAGAGTATTTGGTCTTTCTGCAAAGATATATCCAAAGATCTTGGGTCTAACTGCAACGCTTGACCTAAGAGTAATATTTATAATATTAATAATAATATTAAACTTA